CGGAAAAGTCCCTGGGGGAGATGGCCGAGGGCGGAGGCTGCACGCAAGGAGTTTCCTGTCCCTCCTTGCTTAGAGCACTAGCATTCACTATCATTATGGGTCGGGGTCTTTGAAGGAAAAACAGAAGCAGGGTCAGCAAGTAGGATGTGGGATTATGTGATCTGGGCCTCTGGGGAAATGTTTGTATCTTTTTTGTTTCCTGTTTCTCTGTTTTAAGATCTTTAGCCCCATTCAGTTTTTTCCTTTCACTGTTTCAAATCTTATATTCCCATCTCCTCCCTCCGTTCTCATTTTGAGACACCTGTAGACAACAAAAACGCCCCACTCGATTTAGAATCAGCCGACCTTGGTTCACGCCCACTTCCTCTGTGACCTTAGGCAAGTCACAAAACCCCTGTGATCCTTGGCATGCTCACTATAAACTAGTGTTTATAAGACGACTTCTCACAGGGTTAAGAATTAAAGGATAGAAGAGATGTAGAGTATTATTACAAAGTGTGTTATTTTGTAAAGGTGACATATCAAATAAGGTATGGAATGAGAATAATGGCTCGAATGGGTACCCACCGCTTCTCCCTGCTCAGCATTCAGTACCTCTTGAGGCGACAGCATCCTGGTGTTCCTTTGGGACACCCCTCTGCCTCAATCATTCCATTTGCTTTGGGTAGAGCTGACCCTACCCCAAGCTTTGAGAGTGGGCATGTGGGAAGCAGGACATCACGCCCCCTGGCCAGGGTGCAGAGCGCATGGACGGCCCCTGCCCCAAGTTCTGGGAAGCTAAAACCAGAGGGGAAAGCTGCCTGCCGCCTGAAGACAAAGCCATCGGAGGAGAGATGAGGGATGGAGAGAGACTGACATACACGGGTCTCTGGATCGAGCCATGAAGGCAGCCAGCCAATCTGCTTTGGAGTTCTGTGTCACCTTAACCAGACTCCACTGGTTTGTTTAAGCCCATCTGCACTGTTTCTGTTGCCTCTTAATGGAAAGAACCCCGAGTTACCCAGTGAGGACGTTACTGAGGTTGGTGGCGACTTTCCCCCCAGGGGTTCTGTGAGTGGGTTGCCGTCCTTAGTCTACGTGATGGCTTCTGAGGCTTCCAATAGGGAATCCGTGAGCTGGGAATGTGCTGCGTCACACACCCAACCCCTGACGGACAAGAATACGACTCAGGGGAAAGTACCTTTTTTCGCAGACGGTGCCCCAGATCCTCCTGCTGGCCAGTGAGAGCCACTCAATCCGCCTCTCATACATCCGCATGGCTCTGCTGAGCTGTTTCTGCAAACCCACAGGCCACACGGGGTGAGCGACTGCAGAGCGTGGCCGATTAAAGGGTCTGAGAGGAGGGGTGTCCCCAGGCGGCTTCCGGGAACCGTGCGCCGCGGCCATGGGTATAAACATCCCACTAATGGACAAGCTGCCATGAGACCACGAGGAGAAGTCTCTCATTGCCTCATATTGGGAGGAGGTAGATTTTGTCAAAGGATTAGAAGCTTTACTTTTTTATTTTTTATTAGAAGCTTTTGTCTGAGCATCCAGGTCTCTGCCTGGGATGGATGGGGTGGAAAAAGCTCCAAAAGTGCCCTGTGGGTGCAGCACAGTCTCGGTTTACAGGAGAGATTCGGTCACTGGCCTGGTATCTCCACATCACTTGGTGCCTCCCTCCCCTCCCGCACCCCCCCGCCCCCCTCCCACGCACGCCATGCTCTGACTGATGGGCCCATGGCCGACCTGGTACTCATAGAGGAAGGGCAGGTCCACGTGGACATTCCTCACCGTCCCGTCGTGCCACTGAAGCTGTACCATTGCCTTCTGCACTCAGTGTGGCCGGGAGGCGCGCAGGCGAATGGAAGCACACCGTGAGGAAGAATTTTAAGTTTAAAATTCTGGGGGCAGAGTGTGCCCACCCCCATGCCCAGGTCACGGCCTGGCCTGGCGCTGGCAGCAGAGGCCCTCAGGACAGCAAGGCAGGCTGCCACCCTGGAGCTCTCCTGAACACGGGAGTCTTTATTATAAAACATGGTTGGAAGTTTTGCTAGTAATAAAGTAAGAGACCTTACAAACACCCTGGCCATGGGCCTTAGGTTTGGGAACCTAGGTAGGCCTTCATGAACACTTTGGAAGTCAAATTTGTTCATCTTCTTTCATCCTCCACCAAATTGTCATATCCACGTCTCAAAGTATCATTCATCTGCCTAGTCATTCATCCATCCACTGAGTAAATTATCCATCTCTCTTTTCTTTGATTCTCCATCTTTCCATTCATTACTCCTTCCATTTCTCCACCTTTCCATCCTTACTTTCATCCTTTTATTTTTTTTATTCTATCATGTCATTCATCCTTCCATTTCTCCATCTGTTCACATGTCCTTCCTTCCATCCATCCATCCATCCATCCGTCCATCCGCCTACGTGTCCACGCATTCATCAACAGTTTTATCCATCTACCCATTCATCCTTCCTTTCCTTCCTCATCCACTCAGTCGTCCAGTAAACATTCATTAACTGCTGACTTGTACTAAATATTAGAGATACAGAGTTTTTTCTCTTAAAGGGTTCATAATCTGGTGAGATCTGGACATGTAACAAATACACAGATTGACACATTATAGGAGCTATGGCAGGAGTCTGTGCCAGGCACAGTGGGGACACAAGAGCGAGTGTGTTCTGAGTGGGGGGACGGTGGTTCCCAATTCCCTCCCTTTGCCCCACCTCCCACGTTTCCTTTTCAGATGGGAGGAGAGCCGGGAGGAGCGCCGGGACCTCTCAGGGCCCACAGGCCCTGCTCCTTGGGCTCTGCCTTGACTCTTGTTTCTGAACATTTATGAAGGGAAATGCCACAGAGGAGCTCCCCGCAGAGGATGGAGAGACCGGAGTCTGAGTCACCTCATGGATAGTTGACGACACCGTTTTCTGGAGAATAGGCACAAATTCCTCAATGGGAGCGAACGCGTTGGGCGCCAGGACCTGGTAAAGGCTCAGCTTCTTGGCTGTAAGGACAAACGCTGGCTTGGGCACCGCGTGAGGACCCCATGGCGGGTGCCCGAGTCAGGGACCTTCGCTCTCGGCCCACCCTCCTCGGGGACTTACCTCTTAGGCCATTGACCTTGAGCCATTCTGCAGAAGTCTTGTCCAAGTTTGGGAACTCAATTGTGAGGGGAGCTTCGTGCTTTGGGGGTTTAGGCAGGAGATCTCTGAGTGGCCCTTTGGCAATCTCTGTGGAAATCTAAATTAAAATGAAAACTCCTCATCACATAACCACACTTTAGAGCTGCTGAGTATTCAGTCCCCCACCACAGCTCCCCAGGGGCATCGGATTAAAGGCAGTTTGCCTTCCCCTCTCACCATCCACACCCTCACCCCCCTGCCTGGAGATTTCTGGGAGTTCCAGGGGAGGAGAAAGATGTGCCAACAATTCACTTCCTCTTTCGTGCGCTCATCTTCCTGCTGCTTCTCCATCCTTATCCATTAGGGCCCTCACCTTGGCCTCCTGCTGAGTGTCCCCTACGTGGCCCCAACCCCAGGCTTCAGGGAACCCAGACGCAGCTCTGCACCAGCCAAGTGGAAGGCCTGGTCTGGCCCAGCCTCTCTGCCCACGTTTATAAGCTGAATGGCTGAGGTGCGGAGAGACTAGCTCACACAGCTCACGTAGAAGCAAAACATAGAACAGCAGCTCCCAGACTATACACCTGAGCTCTGTCCTCATGAATACTGCTATATCTGCATACCACTGCGCTATTATCTACCCAGTTTGTTTTTAAATTAAACATATGGCATTAAAGTGTTTGAATATTCAATTTAGTTTGCTTTCAAAAACAGACTCCTTTTTGGTGCTTAAATAATTTAGAAAGATCTATTGATGAGTAGATTTCAATATATAATGTTAAAAATATTAATCTATGTATCGCCTTACAATCATCTGCGAAACCCACATAGTACATGCATTTCACTTTGGGAAACTCTGACAAGGGCGTGGCCGTCCGGCAGCCCCAGGTCAGTCGGAGCCGTTAGTCAACCTGCTGGCTTCAGTCTGCTCATCTGTAAGATGGGCTGGTAACATGCCTGATCATTCACGGCCGCTAAAAGAGCAGACAAGTCCTTCAGGGAATCCAGCACCCAGCCCCTTCCCTCGCACACTCAGCAGATGAGAGCTGTGGTCATGACTGGATGCCATGGTGGTTCTGGGGAACCAGCAGGAGAGCTGGGCCAACGTGCAGCCGTCCAGGTGGCTGCTCTCCTGCCCCGGCCAGGAAGCCGCCTCCCAGCGCTCTGCCCCCAGAGCAGCGTCTAAGCAGCACTGAGCGCTCATGGTGCGCGTGCTGTTCTGCCCTCGATAAGGTAACTGTCGCTGCGCAGGACGCTGGCCCTGAGTGAGGGCTGGGAGGCATCTCAGACAGCCTGCTCTGTGCGGGCGGTGTTCGTCACGCGCCACGCTGGGGACCGAGCGGTGGAAATGCCCAATTTCTCAGTTAGAAGACCCTCCGGGCCCCTCGGCACAGCGGGGGCACAGTGGGGGCCCGGGGCCCACCCCGCTCAGAGCGAGAGGCTTTTCCTCTTCTCACTTCCAGGAGGGGGGTGGAGGGGTGAGGAAGGAGAGTGGGGCGAGGCCAGCTGGCAGCCTCCCGAGAAGGTCCCAGAGTTTTCCCGCCCACCTACCTCCTTCATCAGGCCACTGAGCTCCGGGCAGGTGGCGCTCTGGTGCAGGGCGTGGACGTGGCCCAGGAGGCTCTGGGCCTTCTGCATTTCCGCCAGCAGCTCCTCGATGTCGGGGCTGGCACAGATCTGGGGGTGTTAGGAGCAGGAAGCCAGCTAGAGGCCACCTGGCCGCCCGCCCGCAGCAGCCCAGGCCAGAGGCAGGCAGCGGCCAGCACCTGCCTTACATTAAACCTGGCGCGTGGCCTGGCCCACGCGCGGGGCAGAGCTCCCAAACCTGCCGTGTCCCATGGACAGCACCGGCCCACAGCACTTAGACAAGTGAAGGGTTGCCTCACCTTAAAACTGTGAAGAAACTTGACACCCTCTATTAGGGCTACGTAATAATGATAATTTTGAAAGGACTATAATCAGTGTTGGCCAGGATGCTAAGACTCGAGACCCTTGTGCGCTGCGGGCGGAACGTGAAAGGTGCAGCCGCTGTGGAAAACGGAGCGGTGGCTCCCCACAAAAACAAGCAGAATTGCCTAGGACCCCGCGTGGCCCTCTCGGTATCCACCTCAAACCCTGGAAAACGGGGCGCGGACACCTGTACACCAACACCTGTGGCAGCTCACACGGGGAGCCACCCAGATGGCCACCGACGGGTGAGTGCGAGCAGACCCAGGAAATGGGACATTCTCACCGTGACCAGGAGCAGCGCTCTGCACCGGCTGCAACACGGGTGGGCCGTGAAGACACTGCCTGAGTGACAGCAGCCACGAGAGGAGGGGGCTCCCTTTAAGTGAGCTGTCCGGGCTGAGCACGCCCAGGGAGGCTGGCCGCGCGGCTGCCAGGAGCCGCGGGCGGGGAAGGGGGTGGCCGCCTGGCGGTGGGCGCTTCCCTCTGGGGAGATGGGAGCGTTTGGAGCAGGAGGCGGCGCTGCACGCACTGTGACTGTAATCCACGGTGAGGCGGCTGACTTTACGTCATGTGACTTTCACTTCATTATTTTAAATGTGAAAAATAACAAGCATAGAACAGCCGGACTTCTGGCTCTTGTTGAACAAGCCGGAGGACCTGGCAGCACGGGCCGCACTCCCACCGAGCAGGGCCTGGCCGGGCTGCTGCTGCCGGCTGCCCCGCGCCCCCTGCTGCCCCCAGAGTCGGTCATCACGCGTTATCGTCCTCACACTGATATTTTGCTCATTTTAAAGGGGACAGTGAAATTCATGATATCCATATCTCTGTCAAGAGAGGAAAAACAGCTTTAACCGGTTTGGCTCAGTGGATAGAGCGTCAGCTGCGGACTGAAAGGTCCCAGGTTCGATTCCGGTCAAGGGCATGTACCTGGGTTGCGGGCACATCCCTTCTCCCTTCCTCTCTGTAAAAAAATCAATAAAATAAATTTTTTTAAAAAAAGGAAGTGGAAAAACAACAGATACGCCAAGAGGACCACAGGCTTTACGATGAAATCTCTCTTAAATCATTTATTTACTGGGCCTCCCAGCGCCTGTAGTCGGTGAGCCCTGCACACAGAACCTGGGCAATGCCGGCACAAGAGGGCGCTGCTGGGAAGAATGTCCGTGGTGTCCGCTCCTCGTGAGACATGCTCCTCCGGGCCCTGCACAGGTCGCGCTACGCACGGACTGGCGGCTTGAGCGGTGAGCAGGCCAGGCAGCCTGTGAGCTGCCCGGGTGGCTGCATTCTGTCTGCCAAATGCGTTTACACACATTTGCTGATGTTGCCTCCATTGTGGACACAGGTAACGGGGCAAGGACAGGGATGGTGGGTTGGTGACGGATCGACTGCTCATTCAGCAATGACTGCTGCGGATCCCGGCAGGAGCGGGGAGGGGGGCTGTCGAGGAGAGAACTGGGGCCGCTGATGCAGACTCAGAGCTTTGCTGGGGCCCACATGGTGGCAACTGGTCAGACTCAGGACTCTACCACGAGGCTTTCAAACGCCTGCAGCCTCACAGGTGTGCAACGAGCTCATCACACATCTAACCACAGGATCTCTTGTGACTTCCTGTTCTTCCCGCACATTCATCTGAACCCGATTAGCCCTGTGTGAGCCCATGAGCTTGGGGCCAGAGGGAAGCGAGTGCGCAGCCTGGCCTGCCCTGGCCCAGGGCCCCAGGCACCCTGGCAGCGGCAGGGTGAGGGCAGCGGGCAGTGGCTTACCTCCAACTCTGGGGTGTAGCAGTGGTAGTGGCCCCCAACAGCTTCCGCGAGGTTCTTCAGGACAGCCTGCGGGATGGCGCGGTCACCCTCCAGGCCCCGCCAGTACTCCGAGAGCTTTCTCCTGCCCAGCCTCTCCAGCCTCCAGCACGTCCCCTCCGACCGGGGGAGACCGTGTTCTGGCCCACAGCTCGGGGCCTGTCCACGCAGGTCGTCCAGGCTGCCCTCACCGGGGAAAGCCGCGGGTACTTACGGGGGGCACCCGGTCCTCGCACTGGTAGGTGACAAGGTGGGTGTGGAGGCCCCTGCCCAGGGTGGCCTGTTGGATGTAGTCAGACAGGATTTCAGGAGGCTGGTCTGGGCTGGGGAGAAGACGGAGGAAGATCAGGGGGCACCCTGCATGAGGACATTTCAGAGCAAAGGGATCATTTCCAGGGAACATCTGCAGGGTCCAGCCAACCACCTGTGTCCCAGGTCACCCGTGTGAGGAGCGGGCGGGGCACAGCACAGGCCTGGCCGCTCTGGCAGCCCTGAGCTGGTGCGTCCATCAGGCATGTGTCAGGAGTCATGCGTGATGCTCTTCCTTCTAACCCCGTTTCGTGGCCCCTCCATGTAGTCTGTTCCCCACTGAGGAAAGGAGTCCTACCAGCTTCCCAGTATGGTCACCAGAGAAGTCAGCCCCTTGAGAGCGCAGGCTTTCCTCAGGGCTTGGAGCAGATTGCTGCCTCCTTCCGGCTGCGGCTTCCTTACCCAGAGTCTGAGCTCCTGGAGGCTGAGGAGACAGCGAGGGCGGCCAGCAACCTGGTCACAGCTCCACCAGGACCAGCGCCCGCTCATCTGAGCCTGAGGATAGCTCTCTGAGGGAATGCCTCTATTCCCATTTCATAGATGAGGAGACTGAGGCTCAGAGGTAGGATGATACTAACCAACTGGCAACACAGAATTCAAACAGGTTCGACTCTAGGACCAGAGCTTAGTGACTCTATTGTCAGAGGGTCTGGCGAACTCTCCTGGGAGGCAGCCCGCAGCCCGAAGCGTGGCGGTAACCCCGAACACTCAGAGGCCTCTGGGGGAGCGGCTGCGAGGCCGCCGCACAGGGATGGGGCGCACACCACTGGTGACAGGGAAAAGGACAGCGCAGGCTTTCTTGGTTAAACACCTCACATGGTGCTAGTGGGAGAGTTCTGCTCTTTCCATTTCTTTTCAGTCTGATCTAAAAAACACAAAATCTCAGCTTGTTGCTAGAAATCTGTCTTTCGTTATCGTAACTATTGGCTCTCCCTTTTTTGTTGTTGTTAATCCTTCCTCATCTGAGGATATTTTCTCATTGACTTTTAGAGAGAGTGGAAGGGAGGTGGGAGGGAGGGAGAGAGAGAGAGAGAGGTTGAACCGGGGATCAAGAGCCGGGGATCAAGCCTGCAACCAAGGTACAAGTCTTGACCGGAATCGAGCCCGAGACCCTTCAGTCCTGGGGCCGGCACTCTAACCACTGAGCCGAACCAGGTAGAGTGTGTCCCCCTTTTACACAGAGAAAGAACAAATCCAGGCCTAGCACCTCCTGGTCAGTAGGTCTCACGCTGGGATTAACATCACCATTTTCTGTGCTTTCCTTAGATTATGTTTTGGCCACTTTCTAGTTGTGGCAAGGACTCCGGCCTTCCCAGCGATGGTGCTGATGGGAGCTCCTTCCACAGGAAATGGGGGTGATAGGAGGAAAAGGGACAGCAGAGCCAGGGGTGCAGAGTGAGTGATGGAACACGTGGCAGGGACATGATGGACATCACGCAGTCCAGGCGTGACTGGGGGTGAGGAACTGCTGGCCGGACGACCTCCAGTTCGCCTCCAGTTGGGACAGTGGGGACGGGGTCTAACTAAGGTGGACACCACGGCAACAACACTGTCTGCACTGAGAACTGCCACAGGCCAGCACTCGGTTTTCATTTCACCCTCACAACTAGTGAGGGGCCGGTGCCCGCGGCCTCGTCCTGCTCATGAGAGAGGCGAAGGGCTGGCCAAGGCCACCCAGAGCTGCCAGAGCGGGTTCAGAGCCAGCCCTGCTGGAGCCGAGCCCGTCCCTGCTCGCAGGGGCCTCTTCGCAGCCAGTGCCGCAGGGAGACCCCGTCCCGGAGCCCGCGCTCCGGCACTTCCCTGGACTCTGGCGCCGCTGCTTGGGGCACGTCCCTCACCTGAGTCACAGGGTCCGCATCTGCCAAATGGGAACTGGCCACAAGTATTAACTAAGACAGCGCATGAGGGTGCCTAGCACATGGCAGGGGTCAGAGTTACTTCCTTCACCGAAAAGACGTTTTTACTTAGTGGTATAAATAGAAACTCTTACCTACCTTCCCTCTCACTGCTCCCCCAAATGAGGAACTCCCAAATACAGGGCTAGTGAGGTTGTAGCACATCTATGCGGCGGGATACTGTGTCGCTATTAACAAGAGCAGGTGGCCCTGGAGGGGTGGCGCAGTTGGTTGGAGCACTGTCCCTTCACCAAGGGGTTGTGGGTTCCACTCCTGGTCAGGCACATGCCTTGGTGGCAGGTTCCAGCTCGGGTGGGACACATGCCGGAGGCTCCCAATCCATGCTCCTCCCGCCCTCTCTCTAAATAGCAACAAAACTGCCCCCTAGTTTGCTGGACAGAAATGGTGTCTCGTGGTCGTCTTGTCTTCTCATTTGGTGGCTGCTTGTGAAGGTGACCCTTTCCCAAAGGGGATGGGCTCCTGGAGTTTCTGCTTTTGTGAGTTGCCTCTGTATTTACTTACCTGATGGGGTCTTGGGCTTGCACTTGAATCATGCACTAAAGAAACTAACGCTCAGGAGGAAAGTGACCAAGTGAACACCCTGGCCAGGTAGCCACTCACCTGGAGGCGCTGACGTCCACGGGGTCTGGCCAGAGGGCGCTGGTGGTGGTGCCGAAGGTCAGGACGAACAGCTTCTCCTTGTGGCTCAGCTGCTCATCAATGAGGCCCTGGTGGACAGAAGCGTCAGAGGAGGGAGTCAGTTACTAATGGAAGGAGGGAGCCAGGCGTCTGGTTAAGCAGGATCGAGTAGGACCAGGGATCCCGCCTACTTGACTAGGCAGGACAGACAGCTTCAGGGCCACTCCAGGGATCAGTGTACCCACCAGATTAACCGGAGAGGGCGGGGAAGGGTCATTTTTCTGAGCACATGCGCAGTAGGAGCCAACGTGGGAACTGTAAAAGGGAGAGGGCACTGTGGGGAAGTCGGGGGAAAGAACTGGAGATGGCACCAAGCCCGGAGGATCCAGGGAGGAGGGTGGGAAGTTTGCATGAACTCCTGCTCTTTCCCCAGCCCAAGGAAATAGAGGAAAGCCTGCGCCCGCCTCGGCGCCCACCTGAATCTCCTTTCAAGCGTGCTATTGCCAGGGCAGAAACAGGACGTTGGGGAACCAGCGAGAACTGTGAGAAATATCAACCCTGCTCTGTTAACCGTGATAGTTTTGCTCTGATTAAGGCAGGCACATTCTAACCTGGCTGGCAGTTCTCACTGGGGGCTGGGAGCTCACCCAGAAACGCAGCCCATCATTTGGAGCTGCCTATTTGCATGGAAAGATGAACAACTTCATTGCAGACACCAGAATCGCCAGCCCTTTGAAGGTAAGTCCTGTGCTTACCGTAAACTGCCCATTTGGCACACCCTTTGCCTCCTTCCCCATATAATCCTTGTCCTGCCCAATATAAGCAGCAGCTTATGGGGGTGCAGAACAGACTTCCACGGCTGACCTGCTGCTCTCCCCGCGGCCGGCAGTGTTGGAATAGACGCTCACAGGATTCAATCCTGTCTCTGCTTCAATGGCTCAAGTAGCGACAGGCAGCCCGGACGCACTGATTGTCCGTTACATATTCTGGCGACCACGAAGGGAGGTAAGCGAGGGGCTCCTGGGTGAATACCGGGAACCCCGCTTGCTGCCTGGACTGGGGGATCCAGGGCCGAGGCCTGGACCCTTATTTGCAGCGCTGCCAGGAATTGTCCTGTTTTGAGTCCCGGCCACAGCCTCAGCAATCCCCGTCGTCTCGCCTAAGACCTAGATGGGAGGAATCGAGTGTTTTGTGGGAGGAATCAGCGTGTTTGCAGGGCACGAGCAGCAGTGGCTGTGTCCTGTCTGGGCTCCTTGTGAGGAAGCCTGTACTGTGTGTGCTGTGTGTGTCATGGGAGGCGTCGTCCTGCCTCTCGCCTGGACTTAAGGCGGGCATCCACTGGGTGAGCCTGGTCTGCTCCGGATGGCCCTTAGCCAGATCCCTCTGCAACAAGAGGCACTGCTCTGCTTCAGTGGTTTTCAACGCCGGCATTCTGTGGGGTCTGTGTCGATAGACCAGGACACGGTGTGAAGCCCATGCCCGTGGGCTGGGCACGCCTGTAAACATTGTATGGAGGAGTCTCTCTGTTGACTGTTGCCTTGTGTCCCTGTTGTTTGGGTTAATTTGTTTAAGGATGGGGCACTTCCCACTTCGCTGGGGCCCCAGCTGCTCATGGCAGGGATTGCAGGAACTTCAAGGCATCAGCCGCCAGAAACTCTCGTCAGTTGCTGTGCTGGGTTAGTGTGACATAAGATTCTAAGGCCCATGTCCCAGGCCAGCCTTTTGAGAGTATTCATTTTTTTACTGCGTGGGTGTTTGCTCGTTTCTGTTGTTGTTTAAAGCTCTCTTCTTATATGCAAGTCTTCCTGTTGTTACAGACAACTCAGAAAGAAAGATGTGGGAATAACCCCCAAGTCTTTCTCCTAGGAGATGCGACGTGTCCTCCAGCAGCTGCAAAGGAGCAGTGGGGGCCACTCCCCGTTTGTAAAGCAGAATAAGCTCACGAATTATCCCTGTTGTCAAAAAAACGCCTTGGGTAATAATAATTGGCTTAAAATCTCAAAGCTGTTAAGACATAATAAATTTATGTAAATAAAATGAAGGATTTATGATCAAGCTTTCAGTGATAATTATATGTGCCTAAACAGTTTTCCAAAGTCTTTGGCAACAGAACTTCGGCGTTTGCGGGGTTAAATAGTAAAAATTATTAAATATCTAGGTATTTTGAAATAACAGGATACTGAGTTTGCCTACTTTTGGATTTTTATTACAGAGAATATAGAAGATAGGTTTGAATCTATTAATGAATATGTCATGTATTTTATTTGAATTATATCTCTTTAAAATGTGAATGTATTGCTAATCTGAGAAACTTGTCACCTAAAATTTAAGGTTTCTAAGAGTTAAAAATGCTAACTAATTGGAAAAAAATTGTATGGTTTTAGTAATAGAAAGCATGAAGTATAAAGATGCATTTTTGAAAGGAAAAAGAAATTAAGTTGTTCTAAAGCTAAATGAATAAGGAGATTTGTGAAAATTATAGAAGGATTGTGAGGAAAAATCTTAAAAGGAAATTATAGGTAATCTGAGTAGTTTAATTAGAAAGTGAACCTAAAGTAAGCTAATACAGAATTTGTTTATTCCTTTTCCAATCTGTTAAAAGGGAAAAAGTCTTTCCTGTATTTGCCTAGTGTGGGAACCATGCCAAAGATGCCGGATAGTCCAGACAATGCAGAGTGTGAAAGGCCTGTTGATAGCATGCTGGAGAGCCAAGGCCACTCTGAACACGGAAATCTTTTTTTATATATATGATATATTTTTATTGATTTCAGACAGGAAGGGAGAGGGAGAGAGATAGAAACATCAATGATGAGAGGGAGTTATTGATCGGCTGCCTCCTGTACGCCCCCTACTGGGGATTGAGCCCGCAACCCAGGCATGTGCCCTTGACCAGAATTGAACCTGGGATCAGTTTGCAGGCCGATGCTCTATCCACTGAGCCAAACCAGCTAGGGCTGAACTTGGGAACCTTAATCAGAATGTCCAAGGACTACACAGCTGCAAGGCCACAGCAATCTCACGGTACACTGTGCCCTTCTACAACGCAAATGATTGATGTCACTGTTGGCAACTGGCCTCTTTTGTCTAAGTGGCATAATACGTTACTGACCAGCCAGTGTGCTGCTGCTGCTTATGATGATGATGCAAGAGGAGTGCAGGAAAGGCCGAGAGAGGGGAGGGCCAGAGAGTCAAGAGCGAGAGCTTAGGTGCCTTGGATAGGCAGTGAGTTTAGGGGCAGCGTGCGCTGCTCAGGTATTAGTTGTGGGCAGAGGCTGATGTTGCTTCGTAGGAAAGACGTAGGTGTGTGGCTGCCTGTATGGGACTGTTGTGAAGAACTGTTTTTATCTGATGGTGATATGGCCACTGGCTTCTACAATAAAGACTCATTCTTTTTTCTTTTTTAAAAATATATTTTTATTGATTTCAGGGAGGAAGGGAGAGGGGAAGGAAGAAACATCATTGATGAGAGAGAATCATTGAACTGCTGCCTCCTACACGCCCCCTCCTGGGGATCGAGCCTGCAACCCAGGCATGTGCCCTTGACCGGAATCAAACCTGGGACCCTTCAGTCCACAGGCCGACGCTCTATCCACTGAGCCAAACCCATTCTTACACACCCACAACTTCTCATGGCTTCTCCATCTAAGACCAGGCATCCAAGAAGGTCCAGCCCCTGGCAGAGGGGCCCGGACCCAACAGTTACTGCAGCGGGCAGGGTTCGAGAAGGAACCTGCCCCCATACTTGGCATAGTCATTAGTAGGACTCAGAAGAATATTTAGAACTCAGAGAAGCTGGGAAGCAAAAGTTCTATAAATTATTGAAATAATTATATATTATGTTATTTTAATCAGGTATTTAATTACTTTTAAAAAGTGATCTTAATTGTGGGAACTAAAGTTTTTCTTGCCTTTGTGTTTAATACCCTTTTGTCACTTTGAAAGAATAAACATCTAATACTGTTCCATAATAATAATGATGATGATATATAATCTTTTGGTAAAATAAGTTTGATAACTCTCCCAGGGTTTTAATTTTAAGAAATAGGCCCTGGAGTGCCTCAAGAACTTGCTTTTCTCTCTTCATGAAGGAAAATTTTACACTTCAGGTACAGGGAAGCTTTGTCAAATAAAGAAATAACTATATTCTATTTATATATGCATATTATTAAAATAGATTCTGATATGCTTTCAGTTATAACTGACTGTTAGTTTTAATATTGTGTTTTTCAGAAAGAACAAGGTTCCATGTCATTTGCATTATAATCAATCAATAACCGTGTCATTTTAAATTTCTTCTTGTCATTTAGAGACAGTTGCTGTTTTATTATAGTGTGTTTGGAAAAATGTTACATCTTCTGAGGGATCCATGGAAAGGACTCTGACATTTTCATATCACCCCCTTCAAACTGGATGAAAATTATCAGAACTCTATTAGAGTATCTGAATTTATAGAAATATTGGCAGGAAAAATCAGAAGAAACAAATAATTGACTATGGGACTGAATGAAATGAAAATAATTATATAGTTTTTGTAACTTTTGTTGAAAGTATTGCTGATTCTTGAACTTTTTTCCAGATATAGGAAGGATTTTTAAAGCAATTTGGTAAATTATATTTTTCTCCCTACCCGATCCCTCTGGAATTTGGCAATTCTTAATGAGTGAGTCATGGCAAATCATTTCTTTGCATGAATTCAATAAGACCAGTTTCCAGTTATAGTTTTATTAAGAAGGACTTTGGAATGTCATGTCTAACATACTGGACTCTGGTTGTCACCAGGAAGCTTTAAGGAATGAGGCTAACAAGAGCCCCTTGGAGATAAGCCTGGTACCCTGCCTGGTCACGGGGTTCATGGCAGTCTTTCCAGGGAAGGAACAAAGGTTACTTTCCTGAGAGATGGCAAGGAAGGAACCTCAAGACATCATTGGGGACTTCAACTTGAATTCATCCAGGTGGACAGAGGCATTGCAGGAAAACCTACCGTATTTGCCGGCGTATAAGACGATTTTTTGGCCCTGAAAAATATGCCTCCAAGTGGGGGGTCGTCTTATACGCCAGGTACACTTCAGATACACTGCCCATAGTGCTTGCCCCGTGCCAT